GTTTTTTTTTTTTTTTTTTTTTAAGGGATATAATGCAATTATATTCAAACAATTACAGAAACGTAATAATAAAAACTCTTCATGTTGAAGGAAAGGGTCTTTCAAAGAAAGATAAAGGAAAAGAAGAAATAACATTCAAGAGAAATTGTAAAGATTAGTTCAAGTGGCAATATTGCCCAGATATTTAGCAAAACACAGATAAGCCTTCAACGAGATGAAATTCAATTTTAAATTGAACTGATTTGATTACACTACCGTCATAAATTTCTCATGCATGCATAATTCAATCTGTCTACACTCCCCAAGCCAGTGAATCTATTCACGTAAGCTTTCTGAAAGCTACGCTTATACCTGTTGGATTACAGCAAGACCTCTTGCTTCCTGGAGAGCTTTTTCAACGCTTTTTGCCCATTTCAAAGCGTTCGGAAACTCGAATCTGTTTATTAAGGGTTTTGTGCTTCAAGCGTTTAAATAGAAGAATTAATCTTTTATTGAGCCGTTCGCCAGATATTCAACACGGAAACGCGAGGGAAATAACCCAAAGAGATGACGTTGGAGAAAATCGAATCAAGCCCGCAGATTGGCTGATGTCAAGAGAAAATAGTGCCTTAAAATCTCATTGGTTTTTGCTTTAAGTGCCTGTCAGTTGTAAAAAGGCAGTTGTGCTTTCCAGGGGAAAGATATTACTGGCGATAATACGGACCTGAGGGAAGCTATCCGATTCTCAATTGTTCTGATAGTCGACGCCAGGTGGACGGCTAAATAAACATCGCGGTTGGTGAGCGTTTGCGCTTAAAAACCGCGATTTTAAAACCCCACCTTCATTACAAAATCATCGTTGTTGCTGTTGGTACGTGGTAAGGCTATGAAATATTAAGAGGCTCTTATTTTCAGTCAATTTAGTTGGTCTGAGGGAAGCCAAAAGCGAGAAAAGTCACGGCACTTCACGAGGGTAACTTTTGCTTAGCTCTAGCTGGCAGTTATGGATAAAATGTCTACAGCTAATCAAAACACATCGCACATAGACAAGGCAAACGGCAGTTTAAATGCGACGTCGAGCAGTACCACTACATCTATCTTTGCGGAGCTATTTCCCATGTTCGGTGTTTTGATCTGCGTTGTAGGCGCGCTCGGAAACCTTTCCGTCCTCTTCGCCTTCTTCACGCACCGTCGACTGAGAACAAAGCTCAACTGCTTCCTGGTCAGCCTGGCGTTCTCAGATCTCTTGCTGACCGGAATAACTACGCCTCTGGAACTGGAGTCTAAAATTCGATCGGGATTCACCCACGGCATCGTCGTTTGCGAACTCATGTACACCATTCACTTTGTCGCGTTGTCCTCCTCTTCGTTCAACTTGCTCGGGGTCAGCGTCTACCGCTATCTCACTATCGCCTTCCCGTTTTCCATGAAGCTCGTGGAGCCAGTTCGAGTCCTGACGGCAATAGCAGCGCTGTGGGTATATTCAGTGATCAGCGCGTTACTGCCATTGATGGGCTGGCGAAGCTTTCCCACTAAAGTCACATACAAACTCTGCTTGTTTTCCTTGGAACCAGAATACGCTCTCTTCATCCTTAGTGTCAACTGGCTCTGCCCGGCTGTTCTAGTTCTCGTCCTTTATGGGTTGATCTTCCGCATCGCCAGAATTCATGCGATCAAGATAGCTAAACAGCAAGTGCTGGAGGAGCGTGAAAGAATTCGCAGTCCCCTTTTTAAGGGAGCAAAAACTTTAGGAAAGATAGCGGCCGTGTATCTCATATGCTGGTTTCCTTACGTTATCGAGGCCATCCTCACAATATCACGCGCCCCGGTCGTCGTTCCCAGGGAAGTACACTACTTTTTTGTTTTGCTCTACTACGCAAGCTCGGCCATTAATCCGTTTCTTTATGCCGGACTTTGCACGGATTTCCGAGAGGTTTACAGTAAATGCGCAAGCAAAGGTTGTAGCAAACTTTCCGTGCTATTCCAACGCCTTGCTTCTTTGCCTCGTCGTGTTGTGTCATCGCTGTTCTCAGACGTTAGTGAAGGAAATTCTCATCGCAACACAGGTCGACGTAGGCGAGGTCGCACGAGGACACGGTCTGGAAGTTCGTCTTTTCAGCAACCAACTGTTGCTACTCTCGTTTAATTTACTGCTAAGTCTTGCAAGTAAAGGACTAACAGTCGAGCTTGAGGCATAAGAATCCCATGAGCTGGCCAGGCTAGTCTATGGCTATGAACATCCTACCTCTGGCACATCTCATTAGAGATATTGTTACCGAAAAAGGGAGAAGTTAGACGACAACTTTAAGTTCAGACTGCGACGCCGCCGTTGACTTCGTAACCAGTAGAGATTCTAATGCGTAGTCAGTTATAACTGGACTTGAAGACAAACAATACGTAACTTGTAGCTCGACTTCTAGGGTTTTGATATGAGAACTTTCTACAATTGTAGAATGCTTTGATTGCACAAACGTTTAATTAACGAGCTTACGATTCCACTGAATTTTCAATGACGATTGAGCATGCATACATATTCAGGTTGAAGCTTGATTTACGAGCAAAAATGTTCGCGTCAGCGTTAGAACGCGTGTGGAGAGACGCGAAATTTACATATAGCAGATGAAGGGAAAGCAAGTGTCAATAAGTCTCGTTTGTATATGTTGTAGTTAGAAAGTAACGGCAACATGCAAACATGCAATAAAAACTAGTTGGTCAAAGAAGTTTTGTAGATAACGAAAAACGTAACATAAAGCTTTTCTAAACGTTTTCCTGTTATGGCGCAATCTTGAGAAAATTTTAAAAACATATTTATCATCAACTGTATTCATGTCAGGATAATTGGAGCCATCTATTTACACCCACCTTCTGCCATATGGCACGCAAACTTTATCCTTGCCTGACTTTTTCGTGGAAGCGTGTAGGTGTAATATTCAATTAACGTAAAGACACGAGTTTTGCCGAATCAGTTTACATATTCAACTGTCATGCGTGAAATAAATAGATTATCTCAGTTGTAGGTAGATCTGATCTGGACAAGATACTTTCAAAGATATTATACATGCTGAATCAATAAACAACATAACAAGTTAAGAAAGTTAGGTCGTTGGCGTTCAGCTTCTCCGAATTTCGAGATTTTAATTTACTGCGAGGTGAACAAAAAGTAAATAGAATTTGCTGCAATTAGGACTTTTATCTTCTTTCGTGAGCGTGCGAGTGTACTATGGCAAGGAGGTTTCATCCTCGACCTTTGAACACTTGTTTTTCACGTGCAATCGCTAACAAAACAACAAAAACAGGAACACGAGTGAAAAAAAAAAAAAAATCGGAAATAGTAAATCAATGGGGAATTCAGCTTGTCTAAAGCACATCGTTGCCGGCTAATTGTCACAACGATGAGTTTCGTGGAGTTTTACTGCTTGTAAGTTGAAACGTTTAATTTCTTCTCCCACGTTCACGATCTACAAAAGGCGAAATTAAAAAATAAATAAATAAAAATGAAAATTTTAATTGCAAATGAAAGCCATTGCACTCTTTTTGTTTTACTTTATTTCGTTTGCTCTTGGTCAGGTGAGAAAACAGCAACCAGCGCAAAAGCACATAACTTTATTTATTCAAGCAGGTTTCCACTAAAGAGCTCCCCCAAAGAATAATTGAACCGAATGAAAAACAAAATTAAAACTCGTCACTTGGTGACAGAGATTTATCTCACAAAATCAAGCCGTTCATTTAGTCTTTGATAAATAATTTTCTGACGGAAAGGGAAACAAGGGTATCGCTGTCTGGCGAATAACATTCTTAATGAAAATTTGAGTGTTTCATTTAACCACAGTGGGGAACATAAGCTAGTTTTCCTCCTGGTTTCCGCTTTAGCGAGGGAGATAAAATGCTTTTATCAGAACTGAAAGCTTTGAGAGGTTAACGTATTTGCTCGGCTAAAATAGCTAAGGAACAAATTCATTTAAAAAAGTAGTTTATGTTTGAACAGAGGGAGCTACAAAGTGACAGGAGGAAACAATAAGTGAAACCTACTTGAAAACATGACTCGGTAAACATTCGCTGGGTGTCTTAGCTAGCAGACAACACGAAACCGACATATGATATGCCCACCGCTCCATGATGACTTAAACTGTTGAGATAGCCATCTCTGAAATGACAGCTAAAACACGAAATGAAATAAGAGAAATGCAAAAAACAGACTCAATCGTACGATAAGCTTACGATAACATACGATGCCCACTCAAACACAAATGGTTCGGGGTCGACGAAATTAAGTGGAAATAATTTTATAAATCGGTAACTTTAATTTGTTTGTATTAATTAAAGAGTTTGTAACTTAGTGACAAAATTTTACCGCTACCTTTCGACATGAAGAATATAACGTGTCTTTCCTGCTAACTAAAAAACTGAGCTCTTGTTTAATCCTGCGTGGAGCACTTCGACAGGTTTTAGCCATTTACTCGTTTTCTCTTCCTGTTTGCCTGAAGTACCTGTGTTTACAATTCCCTTTCAATTTTGGACCCTCGTTTTGTGACTACCACCCTAGATCTTACGCTAAGCATTCTAGAAAGTACTTCACAACGAGATGTATTTTAAAACTGAGAAAACACATTAACAGATCACTTCTTTCTAAGCACGATGAAAGCTGAGGACGTTTGAACCACTCGATCATTGCTTTGACAAAGTAAACTCTCCACCTCTTCCACCCACCGAGAAAACAACATCAAAAATTGTTTCATGCACTGTCTGGATTAATGAAATGAATTTCCTTGTTTGATAGAATATGTATGCGTCTGCAACTAATCCGTTTATAGCAAGCCTTGAATTTATTCATAGCTTATGGTGAGCTTGCCGGGAAAAATGTAAACTCAGTGACAGGGCCACCCACGCTTGAAACAACTGAGAAACAAACACCTGAAACAATCACATGGAATCTGCAATTAACCTTGACACTTTGTCGAAATGACTAGTCTAACCCTGCCTCCAGACGTCCACTATTTTGTTTCATGTCACTTTTTCCGCGTGAAAGAAAACAATAAGCAAAACTGACATTAGAAACAAGAAAGTGGATTTGACACCGTAAAAACAGCAGAGGTAGAGATTCACACGCTTTGACAAGTTTTGAGAGGCGAACTGATTGAAATTCGTAGTCAAACGATGAAGCATTCAAAAGGCCTTCCATATTTCCCGATTTTCGCGCTGAATAGACTTCGCGCTGAGCTCAAATCATGAAAGTCGTCCTTGTCGGAAAAAGGTCCGTAGCGTTCCAGAGTGTTCCGACGACGCCCAAAAGTAAAGCTCGCTCTGCAAAATAATGGAATTTTATAGTTTATAGTGTAGTGCGCTGTTTTGTGAGCATTCATGCTCAGTTAATAATGGTTTATGAAACTTTATGCTCAGTGCATCTTCATAGCCATAATTCGGCCTAAAAAAATTAGAAGCCACAGACCTTCAAAGCTCCTTTAGCCAGGTTCTCTAAGGCCCCAGCCACACTAATGCACTTTCAAAAGTTTCCGTTTTCATCTAGAAGAAAACGAGGCAAAATGTTTTTAGCCACACTAGCGTCTTTTTTCCTCTGTCCACAATAAAATGATCGAAAACGATAATCACAATTGAGACCTGGGATTGCGCATGTGAGAACACTCTCGTTCCCAGAGCTTTGAAGTTATCATACTAGGTATGCGTTTTTCTTAATTCGAAGGCTCTTTTGTCGTTCGGATCGCCGTGTTCTTCGGTTTCGCATGATTCTTGCACTTGGAAATAAGATCGACTTTTTCACGATCCCAATCCCTTGTCGTATGGTGCCTTGTACATTGAACAAAGCTCGCAAAAAGTAAAGCACAATCACATCATAAGATAATCCGAATTATTTATCACATTATTTGAAACCGTTTCCGAAAGTCTTCTTTTTCATCAGCGTTTTCGGGCGTTTTAGAGTTTTAGTGTGAATGATAGGCGAAAACGTGTCAAAACGTATGCGCGTTTTTAAACGAAAACGGATTAGTATGGTTGGAGTGTATCTCTGTTGCGTAACAGGAGTTACTGAGTAAAACTAGGAAGTAATGCTTCTGCAATGTATATGCATGATGGGATTGACCAGTTATCTAAGCGAGATTTGAATGGTATATATACAGATTTACGCAAGCCTAAAAGCGGAGCTCCTACCTCGGGTTATTTACCCAGGATATTAAGCGAAAATTTTGATTTGAGTTTTGTAACTTTGCGGTAAGGTTTTCTGTATATTGTTTGGCCCTCTGTTCACACGAAACAAAAGCAGTGAAAAATATTTGTATACAAGAAAAATTTGTATACAAGAAAAATTGTTAACCGTTTAATCCTGGGTTAGCGTTTCCGAACAAACTAGCTCTGATTACAACAAATTGTTTTACAATAACTGCAGAAATTCTCGCTTGCTCATGACTAATTTTCTTTGTCAATAAACGGACAGACACATGAGTTTATAATTTATGCGATGCGTCAACGAGCGAGAGCGGACAATTTGTTATTGTTAAAAACAAATTGATGTCATTTTTTTTTATGCGTCTGTCCTGTTATTGACAATGAATTTCGTCATAACATTGTCAAAGTAGCTACATCTACTTTGACAATGTTATGATATAATCAATGATCAATAACAGGACAAAAGGATGAAAAACTGACGTCAATTTGTTTAATTTGACATGAGCCCGCGAACCAATCAAAAACCAGTGCTTAGTCAGCGGTCAACTTCAAAAAGCAGTGTAGTCTTTTCACGTGATACTGGTTAGCAGATACCTTGTTTTGACGGGTGTCAACTGCACATAACATGGATGTCCAATATTAAAGAAGGACGCTATCTGACCAAGGCTGCATGTCTCTGTCAGCCTATTAGCTGGAGTATGGCCGCCATCTTTCGCGACTCCGTCGCCGTCGTGGTGCGTACGCGCCCACGAGCAATACCGCTGGCCATTTTTACCACGAGAAAAGTGATTCACGGGTTTCTATGAGTATGGGCTCCGCTTGGCCGCCCTTTGGGCTGCTGGAGCTCCGCTATAAAAAAATACCTGTCTATAATTCTCTTTCCTTTTTTGCATTTGAATCACCTCTTGATTCAAAGTTCGGAAACTTAGGAAAGCAGGTATCTCCTATAGGGATTCTATTGCTTTCCCAGTGATCAAACAAGACAAGGAGGTTCAGATAAAACTTCACTGTAGTATCTTCGTTCCGGCGTTAGAAAAACATAAAATTATCAAAACTGTATCGCCTACAAAAGGTCCTCACTGGCATCAAATGGTCCCAAATGCCTCCCAAATTAACTCACCAGCTCATAACTATTCAAATTTTGGTTTCAATTTACAGTTATTTCCAGCCTCCCCAAGGTTACAATGTAGACCATATAATGCTGTGGGCTGCCTTCACCCTAGCCATTTTTGGTTTTCTACGCGCAAGTGAATTTACTTGTAATAGCAGTAGTTTTGACCCTACTGTCCATCTTTGTCTAAGGGATATTACCTTTATCCCTAACATTGAATCCCCCAACCAAATGCTGTTTCCATTAAGCAATCCAAAACTGACCCCTTTCGCAAAGGCCCACCACCTCTATTTGTTCTGTGATGGCTATGAGAGACTACCTGCTACAATGCAAACCAGCTGCTACACGCCCTTTGTTTACCTTCACCAATGGCAAGTGGCTCTCCCCTGCCTCCCTGACTAAGGAGCTCCGTTCTGTACTGCAAGGATGTGGCCTACCTGCTGATCATTATTTCACACACAGTTTCCATACTGGTGCAGCTGCCACTGCAGCCGCAGCAGGGGTCCCTTTGTGGCTTATCAAGGTACTGGGCCGCTGGAGCTCAGACTGTTATGAACGCTACATCAGAACTCCTCAAAAACACTATTAGCTATTCCTAACTTGAATTAGTCATGGATAATTCTAATGTTGTAATTTAGGTCTACTATAAGATCTGCTTGGACCCTTTCAGCCCTATTATCAACATGCAAATTCTCCCCACTGGCTTACCCTATTTACTATAACACTAGTCGGTCGAAAGAGATTGATTCCCAACAGGCCTTATTTTTTTTATTTAGCACAATTTCTTGTCCTTTACTGCCCACAAAGCAGCAAGACTCGCATCAATTTCAATGCTGCTTACACCATTGGGCTGAAAGGGTCAATCATTTCAGTTAATTCCATTATCTATTGATTTATAACTTTGTGAATCTAGTTAGTATTATTCATTGAGAACCATGCTTCCTGTATATCACTGTGGGTGGCACAGACCTCCTACTAGTATGGAGGTATACTTTCCTTTTCTTTCCCGTGGGGTGATTGTGTTCACCCCCTCCCCCTCTCGGGCTAGCAGTGGGCTCACACAATCGTGGCAGGAAAGTGCATCCTAAGCTGTACTTTGCCCCACAGTAAGTGCTATGGCCACCCTTGGAAATAGGTCCGGATCTCTCCAGGATGGTGTCATCGTACCATCTGACCTATTGTCCTCCCAGAGGGGCACCCCCTCTTCTGGTCCATCCTATGTTACTTTCAAGGAAATAGGTCCGGATCTCTCCAGGATGGTGCCATCGTACCATCTGACCTATTGTCCTCCCAGAGGGCCACCCCTGTTCTGGTCCCCTTAGTAACATAAGTTCTCCTAGAGACGCCGCTACTCCAGGGGAGATAGGCTCTGTCTTCCCTGCCACCCATGTTTTGCCACCATAATCAGTGTTTTGTTTCTGTTTCCTGTATCTACCCAGCAAAAGGGAAGGGTGGGTTGCAATGTTGTTACCCATATAAATATCCTAGCTGGTACTGTTAGATCTGCCCCTCCCCCTGTGTGGGTGTGGCTTTAATAATTTACACTAAATTGCACACCAGCAGGGTCTCATTAATGCGAATTTGTTTTCATTGTTCCAGTGTGGTAAGATCTCTTCTCTGACCAAACTCGATCCCAGAACCACCTGTCCCTCTTAGCCAGCAGAGCCTTGGCACGAGGAAGAGGTACAAAGGAGACACATGATATGATTGGCTAGATTCTAAGCCTAAAACAAACAAACAAAGAAACAACAACTAGCTTTATTTACATGACCATAAATACATACAGTGTTGCAAAAGCTCTTGTAAACTAAAACTAAAACTAAAACAGTGACGATTATCGTGATCCGTATAAACTTTCCACTAGTTCGACGATGGTTTCCTTCCTTAAAATATCCTAAATGGATGATGTTTAACAAACACACTCAGTTATAGCACGTACAGACCTTCGAAAGATATTAAGAAATGAACACATCGAAATTTTAACGAAGGAAAGAGTGGCGAGGCGAGATCTCGGAAACCGAGCCAGCCCGGTTGACCAGGCTCATATGAAGAGGCCCTCAGTCACGGTTTGCACATTTTGAAAAGTTTAGCCTGAATTTTTCAAATTCGTCGTTTGCAATCCGTGTCAATCTTCGTCATCCTTGACCATCCTTGTTCCTTTATGGTTTATTATTATCTCTTTGATGTTTGTCTATCTTACTAAACTATTATTTTCAGGTTTTCAGTCTTTCCATTTAAACGGGGATTTTGTACGTGGCCAAAAAAAACAAAAGACAAAACACCATGACTGAGCTCCTTTAAAAGCTCAACGCAAATGTCCCCGGCCCACCCAGGGCGCTAATCATTAGGCCACCACGCCTAATGTGCATTACCTCAGTGAGGTTCATGTTGACTCGTTTCATTTCGTCTCATTTCTACCCTAGAAAGAAAATCAAAAGAAAAGCATTGTAATTTCATGCACATTTTTGGTCGTTGTTAGTCCGTCACACCCTTTAATAAGCAAAACGCAAAAAATAGTAAATAGTGTGTTGGTTGGTTTCTGAATTCGCTAACTCTTTGTTACAGGCTGTGTCCAATCCTTCGTCTGTTATACCTCAGAACTGAACTCCTTACTGCTGTGAGGTTTGCGAGCGACTGGGAACGAGGCAGCTGCTGCGTTACAGATATTTTATAAGCACAGTATTAGGTTCTGTTGATCACATGATCTCACCTTACTCACCTTACCTTCTTCTCCTCCTCAGTCTTAAGTCACTTTTTCAGCCATTCGATTTACTACGATTCTCCTTAAACTACAAACAGATTTGTGTGTGGACACCAATATGTTTCCTTGTTTCAGTGGCGATGAAGAAATCTTTCTGAATTTATAAGCTGACTTGTTGGGACATATCGACCCCTGAGAGTGAAATTAAAGAATAGCATTTTGTCCGAGGACAATTGGAATAACTACAACGAGGCAATACCAAACGTCACCGTCAGCGGCAGAATTTCAAGAGACTGAAGGCAAAATGGACTCTTTCGACTTCACAGGTCTTGAAAATGAGGAAAGCGATCAGGTGGAAGCAGTTGAAGGAAAAGATATAGACTTTGAATTGGGGCAACGAGGTCACATCCAGCAACACAACAGTAACGCAACTGCTACACGACGATTCTTGTATGGAATCATTTCATCCGGATCATTTCTCAAAAGCGTCGCTTCGATAGTAGGCATTTGGCAGAGCTCAAACCGTTGGTCTTTCGTCTCAATTTTGATTTCTATGCCTCTGGTACTCTTCGTTTTAATCGGAGAGTCGTTAATTGTATTCTTCTGCAAAAAGAACGCAAAGCACTACAATGACACGTTTTGTGGTAAAACCAGAGGTTATGTGAACTTGTCGGCCGACCCAGATCATAACCAAGACCGAGTTTTTGAGCTCGTTCGTTTTCTTTCGGTTGCTGCTCAAGTATTCTGTTTTGTAGCTATGAGTATATCTGTGCGGAAAAGCCGTTTCAAGTCGCAGGCTTTG